TTTCATCGGACATTAGTATTTTTACATAAACATATAAACTCATCGTGGAGAGCTCAGCGTGTGTGGCCAAGGACAAAGCTAGCTAGCTTCCCAGCGGATCGTATCTACATCAATTCGTAATTAACTCGCTCATCGTAAACCCTCGATAAGATATCAAAGAAGTTCGGGACTAGAAAGAAAACTTTATAGTGTTTGTAAGTTTGCGGAATTTTTGTTTATAATAACTATTTGTAATAATTGATATTATGAATTGTATTATTTTGTGTATATTAAAACGAAAACGGTGTGTATCAATCTTGTTGTGAAATATCGTAAATTGACTAAAATATCGGCATATATTCAAATACTAAATCCAAAGTATCGTTTAACTACTAAATTTAAATTATCAGTTAACGCGGCTTCGGACTATACGAAATTTTAATACGTAACAAAGGTAAAACAATGAAACCTTTTCTTTGCAATTACCAACTTCTGCCACAAGCTGAGAGTTAGCAGATGAGGGTGAAACAAAGTTGGGGGAATTTTTTACTGTTAATTTTGTAATATTGTCAAATGGTGTATTAAACGAGTATCTTTTTATTTCATTTCCGACATAAGGAACTACAAATAATATTAAATTCATTTGGAAAACTTGCTTTAATCAAACTTCAAAAAGGAATTCTCGATTCTGATAATCAAAGATTCAAATCACGATTATATTTTTTTTCTCCGCCTTATTGCTGATCTTTTAAAATAAATACGTGTATTATTTTATCCTTTATAATAATTTGGCTAAGTCCTGTTTGTTCATAAGTAAAATCCAATGATACTAAAAATTTACTAACTTTTTTTTTATGTTATGTTTAGAAATTATTTGTAAGTTCTAAAACTTTCCTGTAATAGCAAAGCATTCGTAAATAAATTATCCATCAAAAATTGTAGTTTAGTTAAATGGGGAAAATGTAAATAACATATCTGTACTTGTTTGAGAAAAAAAAAAAAATTATGAATTTTAAACTTTATATTTGTTGGTTAGTCTGCTAGTAAATCTTGGCAACTATGAGAAGTAGAATTTATATTTCTGTCCAATCTTTGAACTCTATTACCATCTATATAAGTATATGCAGGGATGAAATTCTGCTGGTACTTACCAATACTGAGTACTAGAACTTATTTCTAAGACCCAGGACTTATTTGAATTACTTTGTCTTTTTTTATGTTTACATGTAGATTTTTTTCTTTTTTTAAAAAAACAGATCCACTTCACTTTATCTATCGGTCAAGAACTCCTAAAAATATCCTCTTTATAAGAAGGTCCTTTCATTGTTGTTGGCTGGAAAACCCATCAGCAACAAGTGCTACAGAAAATCTACGTTTTGAACTTTATTCACCACAGATACTGAACTCTATGAGGCAGTGCTCACATCATTGAAGTTGTTTCTTATCTGTGGTGAATAAAGTTCAAAACGTAGATTTGCTGTAGTACTTGTTGCTGATGGGTTTTAAACTTGCAACTTCAATGATGTGAGGACTGCCTCACTAATTCAAGTTTAAAACACATCTCCAATGAAATCTAACATCCTATACATTTCATTTTATATGCAGAATTATACATTCGAGATAAAGTAGCTGAAAACAACATTTATGAAACTGTTTTAAGGATATTTAGGCAACAAAAATTGGTATAAAAGATTCACAGAAGGCAGATTCTCGGGCATTTTACATGAAACTCTTCAAACTTCATACCGAGAGGATAATGTTTAAAATATTGTATATTACAGGATGGGAGAAAAATAATACAGATAAAAATTTAAGTATCTTCCCCCACCCCAGAATTAGTTATATCCATAGTCTCTCACACACAGGTGTTTGTACAGCTTTTGTTATTAGTTTTTTTTTTTTTTACAATTTCCCATGTAAAATCATACACATTTTAATTTTTTTAATTACTTTAAGAAATTTACACCACTTTATTGCATTGCTCATTATAAAAGAACTTGGAATGGGAACTAGGCTTACAGTAATAAGAAACAAAATTTCACATAACTTAAAAAAATTACACTTTCATTGAAATTTTATTGCAGGATATTAACTGTACAATCTTTCAGATGTTCTCTTGACTTCTTTTTTCATATTTATGATGTTATTCAAAGCTTTTTTCCAATAATTATATACAAGTAAACATGCACAATTTTAGCCTTTTCACATAGTAGATGATAAAGTAGACTTTAAAAGAAATAATGTATATTTAGGTATCTTAATTATGCTAACAATTAAAAAGTTAATTTTCCATCTAATAGTATGGGGCAATAATTTAAATACGTTTTAAATTATCATAATTTCAAATTTTATTGAATGAATTTTTTAAGATCAAGAATAAAGACATCAGAAAGCACTTTCTTTTAATTCTCATAATGAAGGTTAATCAACACTTAGATGAATTACCAGGATTTCTCACCATATTAAAAACTTGTTATTTAGACATTTGTTGTTTTTAAGTTTATGCTGTGTTGAGAAGTCTGGGATAATCCAATTAAAGACTGATTAACCTAAGTTTTGAGTCTTAAACAATAAAGCACATTTTTGGTAAGATGCATTGTGGTCTACACTAAGTAATGTGAAACATTTTTTTAATAAGAGAAATTGTTTTATAGCATGTACATTTGTGTATTCTCTCATTAACATTAAGGCTAAGGTGGTTATTTCCTACTTATATTATAGCATGTACATTTGTGTATTCTCTTATTAACATTAAGCCTAAGGTGGTTATTTCCTACTTGTAGCATGTACATTTGTGTATTCTCTCATTAACATTAAGTCTAAGGTGGTTATTTCCTACTTATATTATAGCATGTACATTTGTGTATTCTCTTATTAACATTAAGCCTAAGGTGGTTATTTCCTACTTATATTATAGCATGTACATTTGTGTATTCTCTTATTAACATTAAGCCTAAGGTGGTTATTTCCTAGTTATAGTATG